TTTCTTTCTATTTTTTTTAGTAGAGACAGGGTCTCGCTCTTGCTCAGGCTGGTCTTGAACTCCTGAGCTCAAACAATCCACCCGCCTCGGCCTCGCAGAGTGCTAGGATTACAGGCATGAGCCACTGTGCCTGGCCTAGTACTCTGATTTTGAAGTTAAAACAGTGTGATACTCTATAGATATTTCCTAAATACATATACAAATAGGCATTTCTTAAACTGTGTTCCTATGTATTACTCTTTCTATGATAGTAATGCATAGGAGGTAGTAATAGGTGTTACTCCAGAAAGGATGCCAAGTGGCAGAACTGGATTAGGGAAAGGCAAAAAAAAAGTGCACCTTTGTGAATATTTTGGTCTTTAATTTGTTGCTATGCTGTATGAATCTCCCAAGGGAAGTAGAGAATGCACGTTCCCAAACTCATTTAACCATGGCACACTTCTACTTTGGCTGCAGGACAGTAGTCAGTTCCACACACATTGCTGCAAAGGATTTCCTCCCCAAATACACGCACATTAATTTAACTTTTATTAAACAAGTGTTTTTTGACATAGTCTCTGCCTGGAAGTGTTCACAATCAAAGTACTGTTAAATATTAATAATTACCATAGGACTGTGACCGCTATTATATAGATATTTATGTATGTGCAAAACAGTGGCTGCCATTCATGGAGTGTTTCCTGTGGTCCAAGTGCTGTGTCTTATATGCACCTTCCCTTGGTGCTCACTAACAGTGCTACTAAGTAGGTCCTGTAAGGAGAGAGAGTCTTGCCCAGGGTCATCCAGTGAGCAGTGGCACACTGGAGTCTATTTCCCAGGTCCTTCCAAAATCTGCCTTACACCCCCTTTTGTGTGTACCTGTCTAGGTGTGTGTGCATCTGGACACCTCTATACATGGATGCTTTATGTTCACTCATAGACACAAGTTTTATGTGTGGATAAGTCCACACAGAAGAACAGAGAACCCCATTGTTACCTGTTGTTAGCTACTACCCTCTCAAGTCTGTGGTTCTTGCATGATCTGGCATAGTTATGGAGTCCACAGTTAATTGGTTCTTTCAGGTAGAAGGGATAGTTCTTTACCATGAGAAATCAGAAGCTAGAAAGCCAGTAATGTATTGAGTAGATCTTCTGCCTTAAAGCAGAAGAGCTGTGTGCTGAATTTCATGTCTGACAAATAAAAATGTTAGAATGTAAACTAGGGGCCTTTAACTCTCCCTCACGCCCACCGGCATTTGCCAGGTACTGATGTAGGCTCTGGGAACATAGTAGTAAACAAACAGTATCTTGGCTTTCATGGAGCCCATATTCTACTGAGGGGAAACATTGAGCAAACAGGTTTCATTGATTGCCTGAATGCCATAACCAGGATGCTGCATTAGAGTTGGGGAGGAAGGTGGAGGGGAGGATGCCACCTTATGGTCAAAGAAGGACCCTGAAGATGAGAAGGAGTCAAGGGGACAGAGCTGGGAGAACATTCCAGGCTGAGGGAAACCCCACGTGCAAAGTCCTTGAGATGGGAAAGCCAACGTGAGGAGGGTGGGTCTCCAGAAGAGGTCAGGGTTAAGGCATGAGGGGCTTTGTAGGCTGTGGAGGTCTTTATTATTTATTTTATTTTAATTCAGAGAACAGCGTGAAATGAAGGGCTTTTAAATGGGGAGAGATGTGTTTGGTTTGTGTTTTTAAAGCTCTTCTGGAGAAGGGATTACAGGTGGACAAGAGTAGGACAAGTGGCTGGAGGGGACACCACCCAAGATTTAGAGGCCAACAAGGAGGGGAGATGGACAGGCCAGCAGCCAGGGGGAAATCCAGGACCAAAGCCAGAGAAGAGTTTTCCCAGGAGGAGAGAGTGGACCCTCTGCTCAGGACACCTGAGCAGTCAAGGAGGGTGAAAACAGATGTGTCCCTTGACCCTTAGTTAACAAGGGTGGGGACGGGGAAGAATTTTCAGGCATCTCTGTTCATCTTCATAGCAGCCCTGGGTTTTTTCCCATTGTGTTTAAGAGATTTATATACATATAAATCTCTTTAATCCCTTATAGCATTCCATTTAAATAAGTGTCATCATAGAAGTTAAGTTGCCAAGGGTCACCCCACTGGGAAGTGGTGAAGCCAGAAGTGAACTGGTTTCCCTAAACCCAGCACCTAAAGCCACGCGAAAGCCAGCAGGCTGACTGCAGCAGGCTTGGTTCACTTGGTTCTCCCCCTTTTCTAGGTTATGGTCTCCATTGCCACAGGGCCATCATCACCATCTGCCGGCTCATTGGCATCAAAGACATGTATGCCAAGGTCTCTGGGTCCATCAACATGCTCAACCTCACCCGGGGCCTCTTCCGTGGGCTCTCCCAACAGGTAACCCTTCTGCAGGGTCTGAAACAGAAGTTCTAGTTTGTATTTCGTTATGTGCATTGACACCACGATGCCGTGGGGCCTCCTGGAGATGCTCTCCCGGGGTCACCTGAGGACTTGGGCATTCTTTGCTATCTGTGGCTGCATCAGGTTAGTCAAATCCACTGAAGAGTTAGTTAATGAAAATTACCTTTTAAAAAAATACTTAATGGATTTTTTTAAGTTTTAAAATTCGGTATTTTAATAAGCCGGTAACTACAGCCTATGTTTTATTATGAAAAGAATACATTATTTAGTGTGCTACTCAAAAAGGAAAAAAAATCACCGATTTAAGTGACACAGCTTTGATTACAAGATAAACCTATTTAAATTATTTTCTTTTGTTTATGAAACAGCTCATCTCTTTTTCTAATTCCAAACATATATAGAATTACAATAGTACAAGGCAGCCATGAAGTCTGGGATCATGGGGTTGGACATACCACGTATTTTAATACACTATAAATAAACCATCTGTTAAATTTATTTGCCTGTTTCCAGACCTCCATGGCCACCCTCTATAATGAATCCCCACAGCCCTCTCCTTAGCTCATGGCTGGTCTTGTCAGTATCACCCCCACCCAGCCCCAGTTGTTTTAAACCAGATCTCAGACGTTATTTGTTTCATCCATAAATCTTTCAGTATGTAGTTCTAAAAGATAAGGACTAAAAAATACCCTATAATACTATTATAAATAAAAAATTAGTAACTCATATTATCAAATATCCAGTGTTCATACAAATGTATCTGTTAGATTTTTTAAAAATTATTTTTTTACACAATTTGAATCAGGTTGCAAAAAAGGTCAATACATTGTAAGTTTTTATGTCTTTTAAGTCTCTTAATCTGTAGGTTCCCCTCTTCTTCTTTTTGTTTTCTTGTGATTTTTTTGTTTAAGAAACCAGTTTGTTTATCTTACCATTGTTTCCCAGTCTGGTGCCAACTTAAAACCTGTGGGGTCCTTAATGTCTTCTATCCCCTGTGTTTCCTATGAATTGGTAATTAGATCTAGGGGCTTGATGAGATTCAAGTTCAATTTTTGGCATAGTATGGCAAGTAATTAGGAGGGTTTGGAAAGCAAGAGGCCAAGGCCCTTCCCTCCATCCCAGTTTGGGGTGGGGAAATGGGGCTGAGATGGTTCCACCAGTGACAGGTCACCATAGTTGAGCCATAAAACACATTACCCAGGATCAACTGAAATGGTATTTCAGTTCCCCCAAGCTGCTGTACCTGTTTTTACATGACTTCCCTCTGGCTTATGAAGTTCCTGCTATTTAAGTTGCAGATGTACTTCATAGACCTAACCTGTTCTTCTCAATTTGATCTTGCCCAGGAAACCCATCAACAGCTGGCTGATAAGAAGGGTCTCCATGTTGTGGAATTCCGGGAGGAATGTGGTCCTCTGCCCATTGTGGTTGCCTCCCCGCAGGGAGCCTTGAGAAAGGATCCAGAGCCAGAAGATGAGGTTCCAGACGTCAAACTGGACTGGGAAGAAGTGAAGGCTGCACAGGGCATGAAGCACTCTGTGTGGGCAGGTTTAAAGAGAGCCGCCACATAACCTTCTCTCTGGCTTTGTACAGCCAGTGCCTGGTGCACTTCAGCACCTATGAGAGAGACTCAACCCTTCACACCTTGGGATGTTGCCCTTTTGGGGGTGGGGTATCCAACCTTATCTCCTCCGTTTACAAATAAATAATTATAGCTTTCATTTATTGAGCACATGTTATATGCCAGTCAATGTGTTAAGAATTTTACTACATATCTCAGTTCAAGACTACTTTAAATATTCATTTAAACTAGCAAAAGTGAGTAAATTAGGGAGACAGAGCTAATAGTCTGACCCAATCAAAAATAATATGCATAATAATAATAATTGCTATAATAATTATAGCTAATATGTATGTACTCATTCATCCAAAATGAACATTATTAACTTCATTTTACAGAGCAGTTAAGTAACTGGACTACATTGAGGAACTGCCAAACCATTTTCCACAGTGGCTGTACCATTTTACATTCCCATTAGTAGTGTACAAGGTTTCTCCACCTGCCTGCCATCACTTATTCTGTCTTTTGATTATAGCCAGGAGTAGTACTTCATTGTGGTTTTGACTAGCATTTCCCTACTGGCTAATGATGTTAAAAATCTTTTCATGTGCTTATTGGCCATTTGTATATGTTTTTTGGAGAAATGTCTAATCAGATCCTTTGCACATTTTAAAAATTGGGTTATTTGTGTTACTGAGGTAGTTGTTTATATGTTCTAGATACAAGCCCCCTATCAGATACATGATTTGCAAAAATTTTCTCCCATTCTGTGAAATATTATTTTATTTCTTTGAAGAGCTTTTCAGCTCCACCCACATTCTCCTTCAGGGACTCTGATGACACAAATGTTAAATCTTTTATTATAGTCCCACAAGTCCCCGAGGCTCTGTTTTTTTTCCTCCAGTCTGTTTTCTCTCTGTTGTTCAGTTTGGGTAATTTCTATTGTTTTATCTTTAGGTTCACTGAGTATTTCCTCTTTCCTCTCCATTCTGTTTCTTGAGCCATTCATGCAGTGTTTTTATTTTGGCTATTTGTATATTTCAGTTCTAAAATTTCCATTTGATTCTTCTTTAGATCTTCTATTTCTTTGTTGAGGTTTTCTATTTGTTTGCTGAGACTTTCTATTTTTTTTTATGTTTCAAGAGTATATGTATGTAATTGCTTGCTGAAGCATTTTTATGATGGCTACTTTAAAATCCTTGTCATAATGTTTCAATATTTGTGTCATCTTAGCATTGATACCCTGTGATTGGTTTGTCTCATTCAAGTTTAAAATTTACTGGTTTTAGGTATGATGAGTGATTTGGCTGTATCCTGGACATCTTCTTTATCATGTTATGACACGTAGGCATTATATAAATCTCTTTTAGCAGGCCTTTGACTGCAGTGGTGGTGGAAGGGGTGTGGTGCTTCATTATTGCCAAGTGCAGGTGGAAGTCCAGGTTCCCTACTGTGGCTCTCCTCTAGACCTCTGATGATAGCAATCTGCCTAGAAATAACAGGAGCACCTCCAATGATACCACGGATAGGGAGAAGGCCATGTTAGGCCAGATGATGGTGAAAATTCTAAGCCTGCGACATCAGCAGATGAAGGTGGGAGAGCATTTTTTTTTTTTCTGGTGACACTTGGTTTGAGCAAGGTGGTTATTGTCTAAAGTTTTTTTGACTTGCTAGTTAACCCCCGTCCGTAAATTTACCTAACAAATATCAAGACATTGAACTTTAGGCAACAGAGGACAATTTTCCTTTAAAGATGGAAAACAAAATTTTGCCTACTTAACTATGGAGAAAGTCCATGGCTTCAGGAAGGGTCATCCCATCAGGACCTGGTGGCCTCCTTGAGTTCAGGTGGTAGAGTTGGGAATCAAGGCAGTCAAGGTGGCTAGAGTTCACAGAAGAGAATGCCTTAGAGGAGAGAGCTGCACAATGAGAGAACAGATCTACAGAGGGTTTCCATCAAGTATTCACTTTCACACTAAACAGTGCATTCCTATTAGGAAACTACTCAAGACCAAAGAGAGACACACCCAAAAGGATTAGAGGGAACAGCGTGTGGGACTGAAAATAGCACCTGTTTTCAACAGCCACCGTGGAAAACCTTGTAATCCAGGTGTCATTGAAAGAGTACTAATAAGAGTTTTGCCTCAATAGTGGAAAAATCTATCTCTGGTCCCAACTCACAAAGCTTAAAAAGACCAAACTGGAACACAACTGTTTCCAAAAAGTGAACTGTGTTCCAGAACAAAGCTCTAGAATATAGAAATGCAAAAAATAACTAATACCCAATAAAGTAAAATTCACAATACCCAGCATCTAATAAATCACTAGACATGCAAAGAAGCATGAAAATAAAATTTATAATGAAAGGAAAAATGGATCAAAACTGACCCAGAAATGGTGCAATGAAAGAATCAGGACATTAAAATAGATATTGTGACTATATTCTATATATGTTCAAAAAGCTAGAGAGAAAAATTGAACATGTTAAGTGGAGGCATGGAAGATATAAAACACACAAATTGAACTTCTGGAAATGAAAACTATAATATCTGAGATGAAAAACACTGGCTGGGGTTAACAGCAGATTGATTGGACATTGCTGAAGAAGAGATGAGTGAAGAAGACAGCAGTAAAAAAAATTGAGGAAAAAGACTGAAGAAAGGAGATGAGGGAGGAATTGGGCATTAGAGAACTGTGGGACAACATCAAGAGCCAAATACGAGTGCAATTAGAGTTCCGAGTTGAGGGAGGTATAACAAAATATTTGAAGAAATAATGACTGAATTGTTTGCCAAATTGACAGCTATAAACTCACAGACTCCAGAAGTACAATGAACTATATCAATCAAATTTCTCTAAACCAGTGATAAAGAGGAAATCTTAAAAGCAAGAGAAAAAGACAAATTGGGTATGGAGGAGCAAAGGTGACAGCAGCTTTCTCGTTAGAAACCGTGCAAGCTAAAAGGGGACCAACGTCTTTAAAGTACTGAAAGAAAAAAATTGCCAACCTACAATTCTTTTCCTAGTGAAAATATCTTTCAAAAGTGAAGCCAAAAGGAGGGGTTTTCTAGACATAACAAAATCTGAAAGAATTAATCAGCAGACCTCTGTAAGAATTGTTTAGGAAGTTCTTCAAGCAGAATAAAGCTGGTAACAGATGGAAACCTGGATCTACACAAAAAGATGAAGAACACTGGAAATGGTAACTGGGTAGGTTCCTATTACATGCATAAAGGATAGTATATATCCTTTTTTCGTACTTAAATATCTCTAAAACATAATTGATGATTTGAAGCAAAAATACTAACAATGTATTGTGTGGTTTTTTAACACGTAGAAGTAAAATGTGTGATAACAATAGCATAAAGTACGGGAGAGGAGAAATGGAAACTTGCTATTATATGGTTCTTACATATATGAGGTAATATAATATCATTTGAAGGTAGATTGGTTAAGTTAAAGATGTGCACTAAAAATCCTCTGTAAAGGAATCACAAAAGTAACAGAGTTGTAGTTACTGAGCCAACGGGGATAAAATGCAATCTTAAAAAGAACTCAGTCCAAAATAAGGCAGAAAAAGAGGAAAAGGGGAACAAGGAATAGATGGGCCAAATAGAAAACAAGACACAAGATGGTATTTAAACCCAGCCATATTCATAATCACTTCAAGTATAAATGGCTTAAATGTGTCTATTATACCCAGTTGATTGATGGTACTGTTACTTTCAACTGTGTCCTTACTGATTTTCTTCCTGCTGCATATGTCCATCTCTGAGAGGGATGTTGATGTCTCCAACTATAATAGTGGATTCATGTATTTCTCCTTGAAGTTCTATCAGTTTTTGCCTCAGCAGGTTTCTGCTCTGGTAAATTGTGATTCTCTGTATTTAGTCTGTCTCTCAATTTGGGGGGCAGCAGTTTGCCCTGTGACCTCACTTCTTTGATGTATCTAAGAAGAGTTGGTTTTTCGATTTGTTTAACTTTTTACTTGGTGGGATGACCTCCAAGCTCCTTACACACTGGGCCAGAAACCAGAAGTCTAAACAAGGCAATTAAACGGTAGAGATTGCCAGATTTCATTTTTTAAAAAGTAAAACCCAACCATATGCCGCCTACAAGAAACCAACTTTAGATATAAAGACTAGTAGGTTAAAAGTAAGAGGATAGAAAAAAAAAAGCAGTCTATAGAAAACTGATGGTATGTTAATTTTAGGCAATGTAGATTTCAGAGCAAGGAATATTACTAGAGATGAAGGGCCATTTTACAATAATAAAGGGTTAATTTATTGACACAGCATTAGCTGTCCTAAACATTTAGGCACCTAAAAATAGAGCTTCAAATATATGAAGCAAAAACTGATAGGAATGCAATGAAAAATAGAGCCACAATTAATAGAGATTTTGACACCTCTCTCTCAATAATTGGTGCAAATTAACAGAAAACTTTAGAAGACACGAAAAATACTATTAACCAACTTGACCTCATTGACTTTTATAGAATACTCCACCACCAACAGCAAAATACATATTGTTTGCCAAGATAGGCTGTGTTCTGGGCCATAAAACAAGTCTTGAAAAATTTAAAAGGATTCAAGTCATACGGAGTATATTTCCTGATCATGATGGGTTTAAATTAGAAATCAATAGCATGTGGAAAATCCAAATATTTGGAAACAAAATGACATACTTCTAAGTAACCATGATAAAGACCAAAAATTAAAAGGGGAAATTAAAAACTATTTTGAACTGAACAGACTTCAAAGCTACAGTGACTGACCTTGTAGTGCTGACAGCAAGATAGACATAGATCAATGAAAGGGAAGGATATGGTCAACTGAGTTTCAACAAAGATGCAAAGGAAATTCAATGAAGACAACATAGAAGAAATGGTGATGGAATAGATGGATATCCATATGCAGAAATGAGCTTTGAACCATTTGTCATACCATATACAAATGCTAACTGATGATGTCTCCTAGGCCTATATATAAAACTCAAAACTAAATTTCTAAAAGAAAACATAGAAGTAATCTTTGTGACATTGGGTTAGGCAAAGATTTCATAGCTATAATATCAAAGGGACAATCCATAAAATGTTGATAAATTGGACTTTATCAAAATTAAGAATTTCTTCTTTTCGAAAGACTGTTAAGTGTGTGA